AAGATTCATTAAAGCCATGAATGAAAGAAAGAAGCACCTTGATGATATATCCCACTGACAGGTAAATCTAGCAGCCCAGCCACTGTCAAAATTATTTGGTTTGTGGGTGGTCATAGACTTTTTTAAAAAAAAATTCTTCCTTGAATAATTATAGAGAATATTGGTATTTGACATAGGGGTACTATCATATGTCAACACTTTATGGGTAGCCATTGGGAGGAATGAGAGCTTTAGACAATCACTGTGAGGGGAAAAATGTGAAGATGACACTGAAGGCACCTTGATAAACATTCCCAGTGAATAGAAGAGTTTCGTAAAGCAATACTGCTTCCTGAAGGTGCATGGATGGTGGGCAGTTAAAAATAACAGAAGTCTCTACAAGTGTTTATACCCTTGGTTATTGTGAGTACTAAATTAATGTTAATTAACTGCTAAGCACAAAGCCTAAATGTAGCCAGTGTTTAATAAGTGGTAAATGTTATTAGTAGGCATGATTCTAGATAGTCCAGATATCTGTTTCTTTGCAGGCATATTAACCACTCTTTTTTCTAATTAATTAAAAGAAATTATGGAAAACGGTTGCGATTATGGGAAAACACACATGCATGCAGCCTAAGGCTACTGCATTTTATTAAAAGACAGGTCCACAGTTTTGTTCTACTCATAGCAATTCTATTCTGAGACTGTGTATATCTGCAACATGAAATCTGTTTTACCAGCCACAAAAAGCAATCAAAGAAGTATGCCTTTTCTTTCAAGGTTCAGCATCAGATCCTGCATTTGCTTACATCTGAAAAAGGACAAAGACTAAAAAAAAAATAATAAAATAAGAAAATTTTAAAAACTCTGCTAAAAGCAAGCCCTGGGTTTTCTGAAAGTATCTTTGAATCCAGTTACCATTCATTTAGGATATGATCTTAAGCTACTCATATCATCCAAAAGCCTTGGTTTGTAATGTTTGGATTTTCTGGATGTTACGGACAGAAGTAGAAAAAAAGTGTAAGTGTAGCATTCTTAAATCTAAGCATTTTTGCTAATTAAGGCCTCCAGCAGAGCAAGTCTTTCTAAACTACACAGTGTTCTGTGGCAGGTGTGGCCAATGTTGCATGCCGGCTTCTCTAGGAAAACACTGGTTACTGCATCTGGCAAAGAGGGATTGAGATGTCTGTAATTGCTTTGGGAGTTTCAGTTGGCTGTACCTTTAAATGGTAATGAGGAGGTCTCAGAGACAGAAAGGAAGGAACCGAATTCATGTAAGACCCACACCAATTGTCTAGATCCGCAGCCACTAAAAACAGGTCATCTTTGAATGGGTTTTTAAGCTCTTTATGAATACATTTTTCTCTATCACTCCGCATGGCAGGTGCAACTAGAAATAATGTGTGTACCATAAAATGGAAGTAATGAATTGTCAGCAACAACGAACATTTCTAATGTGGGATAAATCATAACAAATAGAGCACATAGGCAGATAACAAATCTACTTAAATTAAGAGTGGCTTGAAATTACTTTGATTGACTAAGAGGCTGATGTTAACTGATTTACTTTGTGAAGTAAGTAAGTTCACAGGCGTGCGCGCATGCGCGCACACACTCACATATCCTAGGTCATTTTCTGAATTTAAGTGGAGGATTTGGGATTCAATTGCACTATGTCTAGAGCAAGGCCATTCTTAGCACACACTGATGGACCATTTCTCATTTAAACTCCTCTGAGTGTGGGCACCATTGCTAGGAGCTACTGGTAAATGTGGTTCTGTTGCCTTGGAAGAACACTGTATTTCTATAGATCAGCAGAAAAGAAATCTTTGGAAAGTGGAGCACAGGGAGGGTTAAAGGTGGAATAAGGGGGTCAGAACGTGAAGGATGATGTGTGGGCTCTGCAGTGGGGATTAGGGGCCCATTCTTGGGATGGAATTGGAGGTGAAGAAGGGGTGGGAGAGTAGGGCTGCGGGTAGTGTCACCTAACCACAGGGGAGAGAAACTTTGTAGTATGAGGGGAAGCCAAGGAAGCAGAGAGGAAGACAGTAAGCATGCTTTCAACCTCAGAGTCTACTCCCTTTTCTGAAGGAAAAAAAATTACATCCTTTCCTTTGGCACATGCAAATAAAGATGTCTCCTTTGAGTTAAAGATTCGACTAATAGTAACATGTTAATGTGTGTTTTGGTTTCTACTGAAGTTATGCATTGCTTTTATACATTTGTTCACTGGCCTTTTTAAAACGTTACTGCCAGGCCTTCAGTACTTGAAAGGAGCTCATTAGATTTTCATTAACTCACCAGCTTTCACTCAACACTAGGAATCAAAGTCCTACAGGGCCATTCTGCAAGGCCCTTACAGTCAACTCATTAACAATTTCCAGTTGAACACACTTTAGCAATGTATTCTCAACCTCTTTATTACCACCACCCTAAGGAGTTTTTCAGACAACTTTCCCCTCAATTGCCCTTTTCCCACAAAATTTCAGTTCCAAAGATATACTATCTATTCATTTATGTAACTGTGGCCTTTTGGAGGGTCACAAACTACCGTAATATTTAAGATTCTCCCCAGCCCAAACCAACTTTTTCTGCTCTTGGTGGGAGACATTGCCCCCATAGAGAATGTATGCTTTAAAACTATCGAACAATGATTGTGGTTCTTCCAGAATACTGTTTTCCTCTTATAATTGCCTTCTTTGTTTGAAGAGTTAACTCTTTTCCCACTTAGCAGCTCCTTTCCCTAAGTAACTAGAAGTGGAGCTATTCTTATAGGGCTCCCTCTCGGAAAGAAAATACTTACCATGTCTCTAACACAAATAACAGTGCCCTAGGATGTAACTATCAGTTTCAGTTGCTGGAACTGAAAGAAACAATTCAGTAATGTTTTAGGGTTTTGTTTTTTTAAATATGTTTAAAAATTCTTTTTCTTGGTGTGGGGAGGGAAAGCATCAGGTAAGTAGCTAATGCATGTGGGGCTTAATACCTAGGTGATGGGTGGATAGGTGCAGCAAACCACTATGGCACCCGCTTACCTATGTAACCAACCTGCGCATTCTGCACGTATCCTGGAACTTAAGTAAAATTTAAAAACTAAAAATTAGTTTTTCTGCTAACCTTGAGGAGGAGCAAGGCTTGAAGTGTCACCCTTTCAGAGGTAGAATAAAGATCAATATTGTTGTTTAAGGCACTTCTCTGCCACTGTTAATTAAATCAATGAATTATCTAATGCGGCCTTTCCAGTTCTTTGCTGTGTCTAGTAATCCTATACCTAGGACGTCTATTTAAAAAAGGATGTTTTCTGGAAATCCTGAGTATAAGGGCTGTCATCACAAAATATCCCTGACTAGATGGCTTAAGCAATAGACATTTATTTCCTTGAAATTCTGGGGTCTAGAAGCCTGGAACCAAGGTGTCAGTAGAATTAGTGTCTTCTGGGAACTCTCTCCTTGGCTTGTAGATGACTATCTTCTAGTGTCTTTATATGTCCTTTTGACTCTAACTGTGTATGTCTGTGTCCAAATCTCCACTTTTTTGAGGGACACAAGTCATATTGGATTGGGGCCCATTCTAATGACTTCATTTTGACCTAATTACCTCTTTAAGGCTCTGGATCCAAATACAGTCACATTCTGAGGGGCTGTGGAATAGGACATCAACATATGAATTTTGAGGGGACGTAATTCTGTCCATAATGTCATGTAAGACCAGGTATGAATAAGCCTATTGCAAGCCACAAACACAGAATTTGACTAAGATGTATTTGTTCAAATCCCCAGTATGTGTTTTACTAGCTGTCGGTCTTTCAGCAATTCACTTAAACTGTCTAACTGTAATTATAATTAATCATATAATAGTCATCCCTCTCCCAAAAGATTGTTGTGAGGATTGTGTCTAATTAATAACTATAACTAAAAAGTATATATATATATCTAGCACAGCATCTGCCTTGTAGTCATTGCTCAATAGAAGGGAAGTGGTTTATTACAACTTTCTTTTGAATTTGGATCCAGACTTTTTGGGAACTGGAAGATTGGCAAGTCAGTAAATATTAGTAACATCAAGAAGGAGAAATAAACGAGCATTATTGAAGTATAATATATTGAGTCCTCTTATGCACACAGTGGGCCAAAAGTTTGGTTTTTGCATAAGATCTTTAGATTCATTCATTCAACAATATTTACTGTGCATGCAATATTTACCAAATACAGAAAGCAGTCATCTCATCTAGGTATGGAGGGCTCTACTCACAGCCAATACTCAGTCTCCTATATTCCTTGTAATAGATTCCCTGGCATTGGGGAATTTCTGTGAGTCTCAGAATTTAAAAGGTGCCTCAAGTTGAAGTACTATTACTGCAGTCAGAAATGTTTTTGCTTTCTTCACAAACAACCTTACCTATATGCAGGGGCTATTGTGTGGTATCATGCTGCTGGTCCACATTACCAATTCAGCTGCTGCAGCAATTACATAAAGGAATTCTTGCTAATGATAAAAGCCATTATGCTGTTCCTGAAGAGAATGCATTCCATAGCATTCATTAATTGTGCCAGCCTGGAGATGCACAACTACCACTGCATACACTTGAGATGACACACCGTAAGGATGGGAACTCTCTCAAAGCCGCAGTGTATGTCTGTGTTGCTTTGCACTCTTGCATTGCTCATCCTTTACAACAACCCTTCTCCTGTCCTCGTTCTTAAAACTAAAATTAAAATCAGAATGAAGTAAGGCTGCAGAATGTCATTTATGAGGATGGATTAGGCTTCAGTCTCCTGGAACCACCTTGGGTCACTCAGCTCCATGGAAGACCCCCCAGACGGTCTAGACCCAGAGTCATTCACAGCCACACAGAAATTAAAAATTCTCCATCCTATAGCATGCCCTCTTTAGAAAAAATGATCATAATGATGGGAGATAGTGATAAATCTTTGATGTCTTTGTTCATTAGTTTCCTTATCTCTCTCTCTCTCTCTCTCCTCTCTTCCCCTACCCCATTATTTTCTCTTTGACATGAACAGCCAACATCAGATGATCTTGTTTCATCTGCTGAATGTTCAAGTGATGATGAAGATTTCGTTGAATGTGAGCCGAGTACAGGTAGGTCAGGTCAGTCTTGTTTTGCTTGCTTTTTTCTTTTGCAAAAAACAATACATACATATATGTGATTATACATGTGTTTTATATAGAGATTATAGTGTGTTAATGTGTGTATATTTTTATATCTATATATGTATAAGCATACATATATAAATATTCTATCAATGAAAGCATCAAATTCCATGGAAGGAGCAATAAGATCCTAGAAAAATTTTAAGTCAGTCTCTTGATAGCTAACAAAAAAATCATGTTATATGACTTAACACTGGGCAAACAGATGCCCAGATTTACCACTGGAGCAGCAAATGTGTAGCAGCCAGTGGCATTATTGGTTTGAAATAATGAAATTTGAAATATGAAATTAACAGAGGGTGGGAACGTGAGGAAATGTATGTTGGAATGACATCAAAAAAGGATGAACTCATGGAGGAGCTTAGAGATTGGTAAGTGGAGACATAAAGATTGGTAAATATCACTTAAAACTAATTGTTCTGAGCTAAGTGAACTAAATATATATATATATATATATATATATATATATATATACACACATATACATACATATGTATTTATATATTCCATGGGATTTCAACCGCAGTTAACATGGTATTATCTTTATACTAATTTTGTTAACTGTGTGTCTACAGAAGTTGTGCAACAACATAGTAAGCACAAAATTAGTACTGTACCATGCCATGTTAACAGCTGTGATGCTTCAAAATGTATCTACTGTGCTGAAGTTGAGAAGACTTTAGCAATCAGAAGCTTCAGTGTGTTCCCCATTTGGACCCAGATACATTTTGATGTTTTATGGTTTTTCTTTGTAGTGAGCTATATATGAGATAATGTCCAGCAGGCAATTGCGGTCCCCAATTATTTCCTATCAACTTTTCCCAGTCATCTGTTTTGAGACTTACTATAATTTAAACATTTATATGTATATAATAGAGAACAGATATCATCGAATTTCTGTGTATGTTTACTAGAATTAAAAGTTGGAGTTGGGCTAGGATCTTATTTCTGCAAAGACCAAAATAAATATAAAACTTTCTAGTTGAATTTTTGGGTTGTTTTCCATTTTTTTTTCCTTTTAAGAAAAGGAGAGTCATTAAAAATTCTCTTTTGCTACTTCTAGAAAATGTAAGCTTCATGAAAAAAATAATCTAATAAAAATAAAAACCTGCCATTTCTTACCCCTAAATGATTTACAAGATTTCAAATTTGTTGAAGCCTGACTGCTTTGGTTTCTTGCAAGTGGCTTTGGATCCAGGAAGTTCTGTGGGTTCACACCCTTAGCATGACACAGGGACATATCATTAATAAGATTGGGCCTTCCATTCTGCAGTGTCATCTGTTCCACTGGGAGCTTAGCTGTGTGGAGGGAAAGCAAATGTGACCTGGTTGAATAATTTTCAGATTATTCGGTAATAATAATCTGTATGTGCTATGTGAGGTTTTAACCCTAAAAGGGCAGATACATCCAAACTTAACCAGAACTCAGGTGCCAAGTTTTCATTCATTCATTCATTCATTCATTCAATAAATATTTCTGAGCACTCAGGCAGGATACAATATATCTCTAGATTTGAATCCTTCCTATTAAAAATAAGCTGTCAGAGGATAGAATAATTTTGCTGTCTAACTCCTAGCATAATTCAGCAAATATTTTTGAGTCAACTGTGTATGTTAAGCATGTGCTATATATTAAGGGTTCATGTATTAATATGACACAGTCCACAACACATAGATTAAATTAGCTTATTTTGTGGCAAACAGTTTAAGATACCTAGGCTTTAATTATATTTATCCATATTTTTTTTTTTAGATAATATATCACTCTGTCACCTAGGCTGGAGTATGATCACATGTTCATAGCTTGCTGCAGCCTCAAACTCCTAGGCTAAAGTGATCCTCCTGCCTGAGCTTCCCAAGTAGCTAGGACTACATGCACCACCATGCCAGCTAATTTGTTTTATTTTTTTGTAGAGGTAGAAGTCTCACCATGTTGCTCAGACTAGTCTTGAATTCCAGGCCTCACGAAACCCTCTTGCCTTGACCTTCAAAATGTTTTTCTTCCTTTCTTAGCAGAGGTATCTCTATATGCAGCAATGTTTATCAAATCTGTAGATTTTAAGGCTTATAAAAACTGAGGCTTGGTCATTCTGAAATATCACCATCTTTCCTCAACTATTCACCCTGCCTCAGAAAGTCATCTCCATAGCAACCTTCATCATAAGGCAATGGGGCCTTTCCAGATCTCAGCTTCAGATTCTCAAGCTCTATCTATAGCTCCCCAGGTTATAGGTATATATTGCTATTTGGTATGAGACTTGAACACGCCTAAACCTGAATGGCCCCAAACTAAATTCATTTGTTTCCTAGAAGCCACACAGGAATTTTCTGATTGAAAAGCAGGGGACAGAAATTCAACAGCAGCATTCCTTGAATAACATTTGGCAGGAGGGGAGATACAGTTTTTAAAACAGTCTGTTGTGTTCTATAAGGGACCATGAGAGGAGATGAAGTAAGTGACAGAACCTCTACCCTGAAAGAGCTAACATGTAGCTCTAGTAGACGGATACTGATTTCCTCCACCTGTGATTATTCAACTCATCACATTTGAAGAATGAGCGTTGCATTTTTCTAATTTTATTTACTCCCTAAAGTATTCCTGGTGAGTGATTTGGATATAGAGGGAAATATGTCAGAGGTATATTTAATACAAGAAGTAGGTAGATATTCCTAGCAATGCAGAGAGTGAAGACTTTTGCCCAGAGGACCTGATTTGCACCAATGGGGATTACCTGCTTAGAGCTATCAAGCCCTGTTTTTCATCACATAAGTATGTCCTCAGCCTGCATGTTCTCCAAAAACAATACAGATTAAAATTGGAAACCAGTTTCTTGGGCAAGATTTGCACTGCCTAAAGAGAAGGGATATACTGCCCATGCAGCAAGAAATAATGGTGATTTTTACATAACTTTGACATAAATTGCCAATCTTGCAATTCCACGTCATGGCTAAGATTAAAATTCTGGGTTTGAACAGCCTAATTCACTGCCTCCCTTTCTAAAATACTATTCCAGGCCTTCTGCTTGATAGAACTACACTAAATTTGGCTAACTTCCTTGGCCGTGTTCTGTCATACTTACTACTTTATCTTCTTTCACATTGCTAGCACGCTTATTATTTTTTAGCTGTCTCCGTTTATGAGGCATTTAACTTCTACAGGTTACTTCCCGATTAATTTACATCCATTTGAAGCTCTCACGTTTCATAAATTTGGGCAGTTTAGCATATGCTATAATTCAACAATTTTTATTTTCACGTGGGCATCAAATTTTAAATGAAATAATATATTTTTTTCTCTAAATCAAATTGGATTTTTAAACTGCTGGGTTTTTGTAAGCAATCACCTTTCATTCTCAGAACTTACTTTTGTGCTTAAGGGTCACCATGGTTTGGTGCAGCTTAATCTTATAATATTTAGGAACAACTTAAATATTTTTGGAGTTTGGTCAATAGGAGTCTAGAAACCTTGCAAATCCAATGGAAGTCAAATTTTCACTGTATATTTTTGCTGATAAATATGTAGATGAGTAAAAGTAATTTCCAAATCATGAGAACAAGGCATGAAGTAAAAGTTCAGTTAGGATTTGTTGAGTACATTAGTTTGAAATAGAGAACTTTATATTTCTAACTTCATTTCCCCTTGAAGAGCTAAAATGAAACCTGTTGAATCATTTAAAATTTATGATTTCATATCATAAAGGCTGACCTAATAAAGCCTACTTTTTTAAAAAAATCAATTTTAAAATTTTTATGTATTTTGAGACTGGGTGATAAGACTGGCTAATTTTTCTATTTTTGGTAAAGATGGGGTTTCGTCATGTTGCCCAGGCTGGCCTCAAATTTCAGTCTCCCAAAGTGCTGAGATTATAGGCATGAGCCATTGTTCATGGCCAAAACCTTTTGTTTTTTAAAACAAAATTATTCTCTGCTTTTTCCTATCCCTACCTTTTTCCGGGAAGTAGATTATTTTATAAGTCACAGATACAGTCATTTTCTGAATATTTGCTTCAAGAACCCAGAATTGAAGCTTTAAACAATAAAGTTACAATAAAACCATCTGCATCAGATGAAAATATTCATAAGTGTATCTGAATAGCTATCTAAAGGTGAGGGTCAGAGTTTTAACTCTTGATTTATAAATGTTGTGTTCCTCACAAAAGAAATCAGTATCTATTTAATATTTTATATTCGTTCTTTGCATATAAACTGTTTCCTTTTCAACTGCACTTCTATTGATCTTAAATAGTGCAGTAAACTCATATTTCATTGTCCTTTTTATCTCTTTGAATCGAACAAGAAAAATAGATGAGCTGGAGAGCATTCAAATAACCACCAGGAAAATGGGATACCCTCCTGAGATTATGAAGCCAAATAGCAATTAAGATCATTAGTAAATTCACATTTGTAATCTAAAATGTGGGAATGAATTCTGAAATTCAAAGAAAATAATAAAATTCACTTTCTGTTTCTTCTCTCTTACCCCTGCTGCAATCCCTAGAATTCCCATCTTTGGAAATAGAATAGTAAAAACAAATGTATTCTTAGATTAGCTCTCATATAATTAGAAATGATCAACTTCCCGTATTTTACATATTTATAGTTTCAAGATTCTAAAAGTCTTGGGGGCAGGAGGCCACAGAAAAGAGGGGGGAAATTTTATACCTTTATACTGGATAAATGGGCATGGCCATCCTTAACCAAATTGATTCATCCAGTCATTATCCAGGGGTACATTTTTCAGTTTGTCAATTAGCTAGTTTTCTGCCTTTACTTTTCTTAAATGTCCTTTGATCAAATCTCAAGGGACAGCACTTCCACCAGAGGGAAGACAGTAAAAGGAAGTGAAGATGAAACACATTCATCCGTCAATAAGACTGCTAAACAGCTTTCATAATGGCTGGATTGAAGATGTTTAAACTAATGGCAGTAATATGAGA